TATTATTTTTATTGATTTTTTAACGTTTTAATGATCGGCGAGTTCTCATGAATGTGAGTATGAAAGTATGAATAAAAGAGAAAAACAGAGAGAGATTGAATGCGACATAATGTTTCTTATTTCGTTAATTTGAATAGACTTTTTAATAGAATTTTTTAAATACTCAATTAATTATGCACAATTTTTTCGAAATGAAAATTTTTTTTGTGTCACCGGCAGGATTCGAAAGCACGACTTTCGGCGAAGTCGTGGGTTCGAATCCCGCCTGTGACACAAATTTTCCATTTCGAAAAAAATTGTGCATAATTAATTGAGTATTTCTTTAATTAAGTAGAGACTGATAAAATAATTAAAAATTTAGTAAGAATTGTGTAAGTTCAATATTATATTTGCTTATACTAGAGTCAGAAATTGAAAAAATATATTAATCTTGTTCATAGAAATTTATGATCTTAGAATATGTTTTGTATGCCTACTCCTTAAATATTACCGTTCACCCAAACCTTCCTTCTGAATACTGCGTACATAAATCTAAGTATAAAATCCCCTGGACAAACTTATTATCTCCACTACACTTTAAAACCTTCCTCAGAAGACCATAGTATTCTTAACTACCATTAATTAATCCATTACTGTTCCTAAAGCACCCAGAGCTCCCGACAAAATATCCGTTTACGTTTCTTTCTGTGATGTACAAAACTCATCCAAAAACATTAAAAAGTTAAATGCACATCCTAGATCCACATAGAATCATTTCTTCTCATCTATTCCTCAACATTCCACGATCCAGCAAAGTTTCTGAGTTGTTGACTTGGAAGCCTATTTGACTGGCCGGTTCTTCAGTTCAGCAATGAGTTCTCAGGGATGAGTATCCCGCAAGGGAACATTCGTGTCCCTTTCATTATACAAATTATACTGCTGACATCTCTATACATGCCAACACCTTCATTGCAACTATCCTAGCAACCTTCAATATTCAAGATGAACTTGAGATGCATTTCTAATTTAATGTACGTGAATCACTACTTGATAATCAAAATTTCGCTTAAGAATCAAACATGAAATTAAATGCTTCCTATCCACCCAATATTACCTTAACTTGGAAGCCTATTCAACTGACCGACTCTTCGATGAAGTTCCCAACCAGCAATGAGTTCTCAGATTTGAGCAGCCCTCAAGGGAGCATCCTTGGTCCCATCCTGTATACTATTTATACTGCTGACTTTCCTACACATCCTAACACCATTATTACCCCCTATTTTAATTTAATCGTCTAACTCAAATTCTATCCAAGCAACCTTCAACACCCAACACGTAAGAACATCCTAGAGCTTGTCAGAAGACTAGTGCCCAAAATGGAGGACAAGACTGGGTATGGAAAATCGTACCCAGTGTACTTTGCCTAAAAATTATAAAAAAATTTTTAAAAAACAGCCTTGCCCTCCACTGTACGACTACAATTAAGAGCTACCGAATGCCATTCATGGCAGATACTTAGACAGCAGATTCGCGTTAGACCACCCACACAAGATTTAAGATACAACAGTTCTGAAGACTTTTAGGACCGAAATTTGCGTTAAAACTCAACTATATATTTATATACAAGTCATTGACTGTTCTGAGCGTAACCCTTCCAATAAAAAGTCTTCAGACAGATTGTCAAAGCTATTTAGTACGTCAATAACCTCACTATTTACAACGACCTCAACATTCCTTTTGTGAACGTACTGATCCGATCCAAAAGTCTCGCACCGAGTTTTCGACCAATCCGAAAACTACTTACACTTTCCTACTTCCTTCTGTCGAAGGTCTCGACCTATTACCATAATCCTTCATACTGAGTGTCAGCGATGGTTGGTTTCTCGTAGCCTATGTCCTCCAGGTGCAATGTTAACCATAGTGTCAGTGTGTGACCAGGAAATAAACCATGTGCTAAATACTAAATACATAATAAATCCATTATATTTACTGGTCTGATTGACCAAATTATTTCTTTGAATTAATTATTCTTTTTATGTAAGGTTTTACTTGAAATGGAAAAGCTGGTGTCACACGAGCGAAAAGGATTGAAAAATGGGTCCGGGAGGATCGAAGTCACGATAGCTCAAGTGGTAGAGCAGCGGCGTATCTAGCCGAAGGTCGTGGGTTCGAATCCCGCTCGTGATACTAGCTTTGTCGTTTCAACCAAGACCTTACGTACAAAGATTAATTAATAATTATTCAGAAATCGTGAGATGCGGTCTGGTATGATGTAGGTTTTAGAAAAACATCATTAACAATCTCTACTCTAAACACATCATTAACAGAATAATCAACAACTACAACTCAACACTAACAACATCCACTATTACTAATAATACTACATTAAATCTATCAAATACAAACAAACCAGCATAAATTTCCATGCCATTTATCCAAGGCCTATCACATAAATTAAACACATTTCTCTCGTCCGATAACTTCAAAATAGCTTTCAAAAATTGTAAAACAATCCAAACACTTTTTTCCAAAATTAAAGATTCCACACGTAATCTACAAGATCAACTGTTTAAACTGTCCGGCAACTTACATCAGTCTTGCATCCCAATATCTGGACAAGAGAGTAAAGCAACATATCTATGATTGCAAAAAACCCAAGCAAAATCCTACAGCACTCGCTACCCACCATTTTGAACACCAACACAATTTCGACTTCAAAAATCCAAAAATATTACATACAGAACAATACAAACATAAACGTAATTTCTTAGAAATGGTTTACATCAAAAGAGATAAACACAGCATCAATTACAGAACAGATACATGTAAACTCAGTCGCAGCTACGCCAATATAATTAACCAAATACAATATAGATAACATACATATATCATTGCATTACATTCCACACATCAAATACTTTTCAAATAGTCTAATTGTCCAACAATTTAGCTTTCCTTTTCCTATTTATCCCTTTCTATATAATCCTGAAAGGATAATCTGACCGAACCATTACCAACATTTTTTCCCGTCGTCGGCTCTTTTCACCTCAAAGAAGCCGACGCCTTATACAAAAATGTCTTTTCTATACCCCACCCCTTGAAAATCCAACATATATCAACATAAAACAGCAATATCTCACTGGCACTCTCAACACGACACGCAAGAATGGCACAATTACACAGAAGACAAACACTTTGAGTGAGTAGAAATACTTTGATTGAATATAAAAAATATATTTTGCATTGTATAAATTCACTTTTTCCACATCCTAAATGTATTTGTTAAATGTAAACAATGTTTGTAAATCCCAGGCCCTGAAGATGATCTCAATAAAAGATCGAAACGTTGGCACGATAAAGAAAATGTTTTTCTGAAACCTACATCACACCAGACCGCATCTCACGATTTCTAAATAAATATCGATTAACGGTCACTAATCACCACACATATTTAATATATGTTATTTATTGGAATGATTGCATTTATTTGCGTGAATGGATGGACTTATCTTCCAATTGTCCAGAGAAATATCGAGTAATCTGGCTTAATGAGAACTGTGTGAATTGTGGTGTGTGTGTTTGTATTTGTACATGTAATTTGTTAGCGTGAATGCTAGTATTTTCCCAATTAACCCAAGGAAAACCATGGCCCCGATCTGGTAACTTCCTTGGTCACCCGATTTAACTCGATTTTCGAACGTGGGCAGAAGCAAATCCGAGAATTTCGTACTCTTGTCATCATCAGATGGCCCACAGTATCAACGTTTGATGTGGACTACTCGGAAATAAATTAAATGGGCCTCATTTCTTCAAAAATACTTTTCTGGTGCTCAGTTCCTCAATTTTTTGAGGGAGCTTTTAAAAACCAACATGATTTTCTTCTGCAACAACTACATAAAATCATTAAATAAAATGATTCTCCAGCTTTCTGGATGCCTTGCAAACAATTATTTGTAGATGAGACGTTATTTGAATTGCCACTTCCGGGATGGACCTGTATGCCTCCTCGGTCACCCGATTTAACTCCATTTGACTTTTTTCTGGGGGGCCATTTAGAAAACAGTGTCCACGCCAATCATAATCCAGCAACCTCAGTTGAAGAACTGCTGTTGGATACAAAATGATTGTCAATCCATCTCCCAGGCTAAATCGCTCTTAGCACTGGTGAAAAATGGTTAAAAAAAGAGCAAAGTGGTTCTTTGCATCTTTACACAAAGCAGGCAGTTAGAACATGAAATGTTATTAATAAATAGCAAATCAAACGACTTCTGTTCTTTTTAATTTTTGGCCATACCATTTGTACAAGGAACGTTAATCGCCCATCATAATCAGAGTGTCAAAGTCCCCGTACAAGATGAGAGCGATACGGCTTAAAATTGTAAGTCCTGCTTACACCTCAAATTTTATTTTTTGAAAAACCTAAAACCCTTCCAACCTTACGGAGAGAAGAATTCGGATTTTTGCGAACATACAGTAAAATATTCAGCTCCTCATCGAAATTACGCTGCCCGGTTTCTTTTTGCCATAACTTCCCACTTTTTGACCAATTTAAAATCAGATTGCACCATTGTTTTCAGCGTAAAAAATCCTTTAAAATGATGTGTCAGGATGTATTTGAAATTCTGAAGTTTACCTGGGCCAGAGGTAGGGACCCTATGTTTTCTCCAAAAAAGTATAAGTTTGAAGCTAGACTCAAAAATGTTAAACACCTATTTTTTTATAGCGTCATTCGTTCAAGAAAAATTCAGCCGAGGCATCTACTCTGTATTGAACAACCGAATGGTTGTATCTACCTTCTTCAAACGATGCAATTTTTAGCCACGCTTTATAAGTTTGTATAGGTCAAAATATTATTAACTTGTTATTTATTTTGTCCTTTATCTTTTATTTAAGGTTGGTTGTTAAATTATGTTATAAGTGTACTGAGAGGTCACAAATAAAAATCGGAATATTAAAGTTTAGCTGCATTTATGATTTTTTTGCAATAATTAAGGATGTTAGGAATCGGTTGATCAAGACAATTTTTGATTAAATAATTGACAAGATTTATTGTTACAAATTTAATGTGACATGTAGAACAATCATGAAGTATAATCAGTTCATAAAAATCCGGTCGATTTGAGGGTTTCCCGGATCAAATGTTTTTCCTCGTCGTTCAAAGGCAAGGCCGGTTTCCTGCAAACTCCTCCGAAGTATCCCTTCATATCCATGGCCCCTTTCAGCCCTCGGACGCCCATTTCAGCCAGCAGCTGTTACATGAACACGTGATTGGTATTCAAAACTGAAAGGTGAGGCAAGAGGAGGCCAAGGGCCCCAAAATTGCCACTAATCTATTTGTATTGATCGATTGTGAAGTATCAATTTACCGAATTACAAAGTTATAAGAGAGCACCTTGATTAGGTTGATGCTATCTAAACCTTCATGCATAAATTGATCGGAAATTGATTTTCAATTATTGCTAATTGAGTCTATCACTCTGCTAATTACTAGCAATCATTAAATATACGTACGATGACGTTACATAAATGTAAATAAATATTATTCTTTTTATGTAAAGTCTTGGTTGAGATAAAAAGGCAGTGTCACGAGCGGGATTCGAACCCACGACCTTCGGCTAAATACGCCGCTGCTCTACCAGGAGCTATCGTGACTTGGATCTTTTCGGACAACTCTCTATCTTAACCTACAACCGTTCGAATTTTCCCTCCTTTTTGCCATTTTAATTTTTTCTCTCGACCAATACCTTTCATAAATATTACTTAATTGAAAGAAGTAACTTGCTCACTTGACCTCTAAAGCATAAATGGATTAATATTTAATAAGTAAAAGAAGTATCACTTCACTAACAGCACCCCGTGGCCACTTCATAAGTCTCTGAGAATCAAATCCTGATTACACGACATTTGAAAATGGCAAAAAGAGGGAAAATTCAAAAGGTGGGTTTGAGATCGGAAGTTAGTTTCCGAGTGGATCCAAGTCACGATAGCTCAAGTGGTAGAGCAGCGGCGTATTTAGCCGAAGGTCGTGGGTTCGAATCCCGCTCGTGACACTGACTTTTTTATCTCCACCAAGACCTTACATAAAAAGAATAATTAATTGAAATAAGTAACTTGGTCAATTGACCACTAAAACAAAATGGGTAAATAAATATAGTAAAATTATCATTACCAGCACGTCAGGCTTGGAAACTTTGATTTGCAGCTGAATCGCCTCCTCGAACTTCTTCTCTTCGACAAGTTGGCAAATTCTGCAGAGTTCATGACCTAAGATACCCGCGAGTCCGTTAAAGCCGCCCGAACAACCTAGCCCAAAACGAAAAAAAAAGTTAATCTGTTTATATAAATGAACTTTTTAAAATATTCTGCTTGCCAATCATTAATGATGCGAGTAGATATCCGGCGGAACCGGTCAGAACGTCGAAGTTGCACCCTTTAGTTTCCATAAGAGTAACGGTGTTTTTTCTTACCTGAAACAACGTTTGATTTGAAACAGAAAATAAAGAAAGATTTAACGTAGAGACTGTCTGGGTTTTTATTTCGTATGGACTTGTAGCTGTAAGCCTTTTCTTTATCAAGGGAGGTCAATAAAGCCCAGGCGACGCAGTACACAAGGACACAAGTTTCCATTTAATCTAGAGTCCTGCTGTTCAGGAGTATTGTACAAGACAAGTTTATTCGCCCCTTCACTTGCGTACCCTTCTACCAAGGATTTCACATAATTACCAGATGAAAATCAACCCCTCGGTGATGAGAGAAGTTTCAAATTTTCTCAAATAATCAAAATGCTTCCTAACTTTATAAAGTATCAAAACTTTAAATAAAAATACATTGCATTTTTGATCTAAAATTTACAATAAATCTATGACCAGAACATGACAGGAATTCCAAAACTGCCACCAGATTCCATTTAAGAAGGTTGTGCATTGTTTGTTCTAAGGTACGTCGTATGCACCACACTGTTAACAACAATACAATGTTGAGTAGGTAATAAAATAAAATAAAGGGATAATCAACCTAAACTGATATATCCTGATGAGTTTTGAGCCATACTTGTTGTAAGGCATAAATAAAGCACAAAGTAAGGTTTTTTTTTAATTTTAATGCAAAGAAGGTTGAGAAGAAAATTAGTGTCAAGAAATGGTACTCGAACACATGGACCCGTTGGTAAAATAAAAATTTAAAAATAACCTCTCCTGCAGATCCTCTGGTCCACCATTTCCATCTATGAAGTCCCTACTTTTGTGACAGTTAACATTCATTCAAAAATACGGTATACAAAGTATAGATAATTGTCTAAAAGTATGGTATTTATGTAAACAACTTTTTGTTTGGCTAGATTCTACAGTAGAAAAAAAGGTCATATGTCACTTCCGGTGGCGGACCATTTGAGTTGTTTAATCATAATAATGTTGTTAACAAAACAATAAAAATTTATTTGAAATAAACAAATGTGGCTCACGTCAGAATCCTTGACGCCTCGGATTGATGGATGCCGAGCCAGTTTGGCCAAGATGGGAGTCCCGATGTCCATCCCGGTGACCCAAGGGTTGTTGTAGACGACGACCGGAAGACCGCCTTCGTCCGCCAGGGTCGTGAAATGTGTCATAATCGCATCTTCCTGTTTATAAAAAAAACGACAGATAGAAATTGTAAAAATCTCGAGAAAAATCGCTTACAGTCATGAATCTCTTGAAATAAAACGGAAGCATGATAAGTACGCCGTCTGCGCCTGCTTTCTTCAACTCTTGCGTGAGATCGCATGACATCCTGGTCGCTTTAAAATCGACAAAAGTTTTAAATTTTTAAATTTTACCGTGACATCTAGGCATTACACTCTGTTGTCACTCCTCCGATGATTACTTTTTCCTTGGACGTGTTCTCCCTGACGAATTTGACCAAATCTACCCTCTCCTGGTATGACAAATAAGGTGACTCACCGGTCGTTCCAGAAACTAAATACCCTGTTTACAAACAAAACTATTAATTCAATTTGGTCAGATTCTTTTGGTCAATCTTTCCTGTTTTGGTCTGTCAGAAGCGTTTCAGCTGTTCACCATCATCATTTTCGGATCTGTGTGTATTTTGTTAGTCCGAGTTCATTTTTATTATATAGCCTTTTTATTTAAGATTTTGATTGAAAAGAAAAAGCGAGTGTCACGAGCGGGATTCGAACCCACGATCTTCCGCTAAATAAGCCGCTGCTCTACCACTTGAGCTATCGTGACTTCGATCCACTCGGACACCAATTCCCATCACAACCTACAACCTTTCGAATTTTCCTTCTTTTTGCCATTTTTCAATTCGAAAGGTTGTAGGTTGAGATGAGGGGTTATCTTACATAAAAAGATTAAGTAATTGAAAGAAGCAATTTGGCCAATATAATTATTTATTATATAGTTTGATCGTTTCTGATCATTTTAGCCTTCATACCCTCGATGTTCTGGTCTTTCTTAGCATTGCTGAAGATGACGTGAGTCGAAAGGACAGACCAAAATAGCAAGTATAGGCACACCAAAATGATCGGAAATGACCAAACTAGGGCCCCAAGACGAAATCTGAGATTTATTAATTTTATTTTTTACTTTTTGAGACATTGAGTCCTGCTGTTCATCCTGGCCTTCCTATTTTTGCTATAAACCGTGGTGAAAATGGCAAAACTCGTCTGTCTGATCAAAACAACTGTGATAGGCCGAACAAAACAGGAAATCCCCCCAGACCCCAAGAGGAAATCTCAAAAATTAAATAAAATTCTAGCTAAAAGTTAATAACAATTCATATTATATCACGTAACATCCTCCACGTTTCAAACCTATGGATCCTGACCGTTCAACTTGTCACTAATCCTATTGGAAATTCATGGCGGATTCATTAGCATATTATATCTCACGTCCCAGAGGGTGTTCGGCCATGTACACAAAGTCCCATGAGTAGTTTATACGGCACTACGGCCCTTTTTGGGCCGACTAATCTAAATAATTGCCACATGAAAGATTTATAGCTATGTCCGTGTGAATCGAAACTTGTCGTTTTGACTCGTGTGAACATTTATCAACTAACTCGTGTAATCTGACCAGTTTATGAATTATGTATTCACTGAACAGTAAACATCAATGAAACTGATGTATCATGAGCGATTTTATAAAGTTGTGAATTAAAATGAAGGGGTGAACTAAGGTTATTTAGATACCTATTAAATCCATTATATTTAATGGTCTATTGTCCAAATTACTTCTTTCAAAGGAGGAAAAATTCGAATGTTGTAGGTTGAGATGGGGAGTTGGTGTCCGATTTGATCGAAGTCACGATAGTTCAAGTGGTTGTAGCAGCGGCGTATTGAGCCGAAGGTCGTGGGTTCGAATCCCGCTCGTGACGCTAACTTTTTCATTTCAACCAAAACCTTACATAAAAAGGTTAACTTATTTCGATATTTCAGCCTCGTTTCTTTTATGTGAATTATCTAATCAAAAATGTCTCTTTTTGAATTTTTATGATTTTTCAACTGGTTTTTCAACATTTAAGCATTTCACATACTGAGAATCTGATATTCTAAGAAACTTTTACAACAGACAAGTGATCTATCTGGTCCGTCTATTCTCGCTTTCCAGGGACTAAGGGACATATAAACTAATTACTCCAAAAATAATTTTGACGGAAAATATTAGGTTGGAGTGTTAAAAATTTGTTTTATATTTCTTATGTACAAAAAATATTAAAATAGTGAATTAAGAATGAAAAACCGTTGAAGAACAAGTGAAATGTTTAATAATGGCAGAAAACTAAGGTGTTCAGATGCAAAATCGTAATCGAAGGTGAAGGCGTTAAAAAGATTTACTTTGAATGCCACAATAGTTCTGAAAGGTCGAAACATTTACCTTTGAAAGGGATTTTCTCGTATTTCTTCAGATTGGATCCGAGGCTCTCGTAGCAAATCGACTGATCGGCCTTAAAAGGCGTTGTGAGCGGAATGAACATCCCATTAAGTTCAACCGACGAGGATGAGTACAATCGCCTCGTGAAGGTCCTGAAGGCCATTTTGAAAATGGATTTTCTACCTGGTGCACACCGTTCTTCCCGAAGAGCGTGTGAGACTGCCGGTCGAATCCTTATGTAACCGATTCTTACATAACTCGAGCCCTTTTTTCCTTATCTCGATGATGTGAAGCACGATCCGGCTACACTGGAAAACCGATGTTGTCTTTATTTAATGTAGGGACAATTTTTAATTTAAATTGTATTAATTGGTCAAGCGGACCACGAAAATAGTGAATTTAAATTGTATGTTAAGTCAAGAAAAATGCTAACGTGTAACTTAAACCATTTCAAACCAAAGACATCATATACAATTATATAATTGTGCTAATCTATCTTGTCTTTTATAATGTATACTTATGCTATACTCAGTATGAAGCCAAGAATTGCAAGGAAGACAGGGAAAAGGAGCGACCAAATATCAATTATACTTTTTATCAAGCACACATACATTATATACGCTTACATACATTATATGCAATATTTACACTCTAAAGAAGAGGAAACACCATCATATTCCTTAAAAATTCTAAAAGGGGAACCAGCAACATTCTCATGCTAAGGACTGTCTTTAGGTGTTGTGCCTACTCGCTCCCTGTAAAATGGCAAGGCCACTGCTGAAGTGCGACACACTGAGCAACCTTTCTCTACAAGCGGGACACCTGTGCGGTGTTTGCCCCAAAAACAGTTGTCCGTGTGTCAATCGTGTGTGGCCTATGCTCAAACGAGTGAGCACGATCCCTTCCTTGCGTTTCAGACCATCGGTGGAAATCGCCCAGTCGTGTTCTCAACAAGCTATGATTGGACGATCCGACTCATTGACGACGCCGACGTTCTTTCATTGCATTCTTTATTGCTCGTTCAGTGTCAGCAAGCCGAATCGCAGAGGTTCAGACAGGACGTTAGTTGCCACCAGCTCAGCATAACCAGGTTCCCAGACGACTACCACCGTTTTTAATAGGAGCATTAACATAGCGTATCTCTCTAATAAGTGCACGAAAAAAGGGATCCACTGTAAATTTGTCATAGTACCCAGGGAGTCGGTACCTAGGCAGGGCTGATTTACCTTTAAATGTCAGTGCCCCGGATCGCATACCTCCGCCGTGTACACGACGCAGACCACATGATTATACTTTTATCAATAACAATCAAACTGCATACAACGTGATATATTTACAGCCTGTATAAATTAGACGATTTAGATTCAAGCTTTTTCTAACTATAGAGGGTCTAAGATATCTATAAAGAAAAACATGGAGTTATCTCTCAAGAGTGATTCATGCTTTTAAGCTGATATAAGTTAATTAAATTAATACATAATAGTGTGTATGTGTTTTTACTACTTACTAATTCATAATAATTCACCATATTTTACTAATTAACTAATTGGAACCTAGATCTTCCTAAAATCTTAACACGTCTATAAAATCGGAACAGTTATGGTTTTTAAGTTAATGCATTTTTCGTTGAATACCCTTGAATTCAAACAAAATTATATTTACATTTAAAAACGATAAAATTTTCCATAATTTAAAAGTTGCAGTGAAACTTAATTAAAATAATAAATATTTATTTTGAAATCGTGAGATGCGGTCTGGTGTGATGTAGGTTTCAGAAAGACATTTTCTTTATCGTGCTAACGTTTCGATCTTTATTGAGATCATCTTCAGGGCCCGGGATTTACAAACATTGTTTAAATTTAACAAAAAACGATTAAGATCGAAACGTTGGCACGATAAAGAAAATGTTTTTCTGAAACCTACATCACACCAGACCGCATCTCACGATTTCTAAATAAATATCGATTAA